ATAGGGTGCCATTAAGGTATATGGGCAATTTTTTTTTCGTAAAATCGGTTGACGGCACCCCCCAGATCGGTTCATTATACTAAAAAAATAATCTGTGTAAAATTTTAGTTCAATTGGATAAGTGGAAATGGTGCCCCAAGAGCCTCAAAGATTGAAAAATAACGATTTTTTCCATAAAATTCATCTTTGATTGCTTATATCTCCGACATATTTAATTTTACATAAAAACTGTCTTTCTAAAAGTTATAGATTTCAAACAGTAGTGAATGATAACAACAAAATTTTTATTATTTTAATTAATTGTATTTTTGGCTGGTCATATAGTTCTTTTAAATACTGTTAAATAGCGTCAGTGGTCTTCAAAGTATATTTAATTATTTAAAAATTAATTTTTAGACTGCTAGTGCCAAGGATACAACTCTTACCCTTCCAAATTTGAAGCTCAGAGTCAGTGTTCATTAGCCAATTGAACCAAAGCGTACTTGATTTGTATGTTCGAACTTGAAGTTTTGTTCATTAACACATTCACTAGCTGTGTTTATATTAGAACGAAATTACAAATCAGCTATAGAAGAATTGAGTTAATTATGTTTTTATTTTTTAATTATTAAATTTATTGTTTTGAGTAAATAATATTAACTAACAAATTTTATATGTTAACACATTTGTAGAACTTATATTAAAAATCAAACTCAACAAACATAATTATTCAATTTTTTCTCATTTAACCTAGTACATTAATACCACTACATTAACATTAATACTACAAAAAGTATCCTTGTAAATATCTTTTGCCGAGCTTGTTATTTAGGGTCCTGAGATGGGTACACTTTATGTTCTACTTAAAATTGTTTTGAAAGCGATATTGTTACATCAGTTACATAAAAGAAAAAGTATTTTCTGTCCTGTAACTCCAAAGAAAATATTTAGTATTCACTACTTTTAGTAACTAATTTCGTTAATTAAATAATATAGTAGAACCTTATAACTCAACGGCCGACAGTCTGGCTTTCATTCGGAATGCGGAATGTGTTCTGTTTGGTTAGGGTCTGTTGCAGCACAAAATATCAACCATGGTTGCAATGCTCCGCTCCGTTGGGAGCTGGTACCCCGTTTATTTTATTCCTAACACAGTACAAATGTAAAGCGGAAACAATAAGTAATATATTTTATGTAAATGTAAAGACTGTTACTGAAAAGCTAACCTAAAAAACCAATTTTCAAGCACTACCTACTGTTTCTCTACGGGGCATCTCTATGAGAGAGTTCGATTTTCTTCTATTGGTGTGTGGCCAAATTGCGTACAGATGCCTGCATATCGTAAAGTCTTCCCATCTTTTATTAAAAAGTTCAGCACAGGAAGAACTCAATACCAATTTGCATGATGTCAACAATATGCCCAGATTATTTAGGTGTTCCGCGTGGTGTGTTAAACCACCTCGTCCGGCTAGCTTGTTTGCTTTGCAATTGCCGAAAATATTCCTATGACTGGAAATTGAGATTAGACAGATTAAACTGCGTCGACATTTCATTCGGAGATGTGTATCAGTTAAAGACTGTACTAGACGTAAATTGGACTGAACTCAAAGACTTTAAAGTAGCTTGACTATCCGATAGTATGTATATGTTCCTTTCCAGTATATTATTTACTTCCAGACAAGCTAAAGCTTCTTTCATGGCAGTCACTTCTGCCTGAAAAACACTACAGTTATCTAGAAGTTGTTTCGACAAAAACGCACAAATTCCCTTATATATCCTATAAACGTATGCGTCTGACTAATCATCTTCAGCATTTATGTCATTATAGGAAATATATTCAGTATATAAGAAAATATCCAGTGTTTATATATAATCATAATAGTTTGGGAAATTTTGTTGTAGATATCAAAATCAACGTTTAGGGTTTATTTTTAATTTTGTTTTAAAATATATATATATAATATATAAATATTTTTATTATTATTATATATATAAAAATATTTACAAATTGTTTAATAATATAATTATTTATAATAAATTTATTTTTGCAATATTTGTTAAGTTTTATTTTAAGTAAATATATGATTGCCTTATAATTCATTACTTATTTAAACAACTGTTTAAAGTTTGCAGAATTTTTATAAATTTTTGCAAATGTTCTTATCTATCAATAAAATACGTCATCAAGTTTAAATAGAAAAAAAATCTATTGTTCCACAGTCCTGGTTTTTCAAAATTTTGTGGTTTAAGTTTAAGGTAAAAATATGCATGGCATATTTACTTGTGACTAAAGTGGAGTAAATCATAGGCTTTGAACTTGAACTTATATGTGTAGTTTAAAAATAATGGGGGTTCACAATAATTGAGAATATCTCTGAATTTCATTCTCTGAATGAAGTTTTTTTTAAGTGATTTTAATGTTATTTAAATTGCATTTTTATAAATATATAGTAGTAGGCAACATATATAGTAGTACTATTACACTATTAACATTTTTTTTAATTGATTTCCCAAAATTTTATAGAAAGTTTTGTTTTTTTATTGAATTTAATAACTTTTATCTTTTAAAATGCCAATGTTTTAAAAAAACACTCATCCAACCTAGAGACAATCCTGTTAAGCTATTAGCTATCAACTTAATTCCATTAATTTCATATAAATATAAGTAATATAGTAATATTCCGATATATATGATTTGGATCCTTAATAAAAGTCATCATATCTGAAAGAATTCGAAAAATTGAAACTTTACGAGTTTATTGTGACCAAAGACTTAATACCACCTCAAGTAAACTGCACATGATAGTTGAGGCATAAAAAGCTACCCATGAGTTCATTACTAGACCTACTGATAATTGAATATAAAATCTAATAATATAAAAATTATATTATTCAAGCTTTACCTAAAGATATTTTATTGGAAGTAAAGAGGTGGATCTATCACTATATAATAGATAAATATTAGCAGTTAAATCATTTGTCTCTTCTGGAGTATAGAATATCGCATAATTCAAGTTAATTACTATAAAAATGGAAAAACCCAGACTATGTCAAATAGTTAGACTAAAATTCTAACTATCAAAAAACATTGGCGAGGTCAACTACTATCTTACTGGGTTCTTATCCAGTCATTGATATTTCAAAAGCTAACTCTACTGCATACGCAAAGTAATGTCACTAATTTGTATATATAGCGGAGCTGAGGATGATACTTCAGAATATATATTGTTTGAGTGCAATAAGTGGCTACCCAAATGAGAAGTTGGTGTTTTCTCCCCAAGGATATTATAGCAATGTTTGCTGAAGAGATACTGTGGTTGCAAAAAGTAGAAAACTAGAAGTAGTAAAAAGTAGAAGGCAGCTACAGCCAGCAGATATATTACACCAAGAAGAAGTGCAAGGCAGGTTAACTGAACCAGCTGTGCGGTCTGAACGCAGTTCAGCCAGATGGAAGTTTTAAATAATTAATAAGGACCCTACCTCGACGTAATACTAACGTAGTCCCAGGGTAGGACAAGGTCTCTAGAAATAATGGGGAGGGGTTTAATTCTATTTTAGTTTGAAGCGAATACAAAGGGCATTAAAATAAAATAGATAGATTTTGAATGGATTACAATAGGCCATTTAGGATTGAAGGTTTTAAACAAAAGCTATAAGGACAGGTACGAATACATATGATTATCCTGTCATAAAGTAGTACATATGTTTAAGTACATAAGAGTCTCTGCTGAACTAACGGTGTTGACTTACAAAGTAGCAGCGTTTTTCGGATTTTTTGCCTAAATGTCTTTTTTCGTACATCCTCATGGCAATTGGTGACTTCCTCAGCAAATTTGTATAGCTGAGTTCGGAATGATAGTGCAGAGATAAAATTTCAGTTGTTTGTCAATAACTTGCTAAAATCTGTTCAAACCAGTCAAAAATTCTGTTGATTGTCTAATTGTTGAAAATTCGTAAAGGCATGTAATATTTTCTTAAAACCTTAATATACCGAGCATATATATTTTAAAAATTTCCACAAATATTTTTAATTCCACACAAAAGCTCTTAATTGTGCAGCTCGCCTGCTTAAACATTTGTTTTATTTTTTTTCTTCTAAATATTTCTATTACAAATTTTTGATTATAGAAGAGAATGCGTAAATATTTGCACAAGTTTTTAAAAAAGTAAATAAATGAATAGACATTAAATTCCAATTGCTTTATATATAAGAAGTAAAAAGCACAAAAATGGTAGTTAATATTTTTTAACAACGTCCAACTTTAGTTCAAAAAATTAACGAAAATGAAATTCTTAACAATTTTAATGACATTGGTTTTAATTGGTTATGTTTGCGCTCAAGTCACCGATCCTCCACCTACTGATGCCCCAACGGATGCCCCAACGGATGCACCAACGGATGCACCAACAGAAGCTCCAACAGACGCACCGACTGAGGCACCAACAGTTTCACCTACAAGTCCTACTCAAGCACCCACTGCCGGTGGAAATAGAAAACTAGTGAGAGTGTCTAATTTACGTTTTAGAGCAGTTCGCCGGATTAGGCGTAATAGACCGAATTCAGTAAGAAGACGTAATCCACGAGTAACTGTTATTCGAGGTTAATTGTAGAAAAATATGTTGAAAAATTTGGGTTTATTAAATGCAATAAAAATCTTAAGTGAAAATTGATTAAAAATATTAAATCTTAAATTATTTTTACAAAACAAATTATTAACGTAGGTACAACTTAATACACCCTATAAAAATACAAACATAATTTCGCACTTAATGTGGAACAAATAATGAGTAAATTCACATACTGCTTTCTTCAGATCTTTCACTTTAAAAAATGTTAATTTTTTAAAGTATGAAGTTTTCTGTTATTTTGCTTGATATCGATCCAATTTTTATGATTTTAATTCCACGCTTTTGTCTTTGCTTTTAGATTCTTCCCTCAAATCTACTCAAGTTCACTATATCACATTTCCGAAATCGACTAAATTAAGAAGGATTTTCTGCTTCCATATTAATGGTTACTTTAAATATTTTGCTCCATAGTTATTTTTACAAATTAATTATCACTTGATCATTGAAATCAAACTGGTTGTGAAGAAGTAGTTTTCTAGATTTCTTTAGTGGTGGTGAATGACTTGCGATTCCTTTTTTGTGAGTTATATATTCTTTTCCATAGTTTCCATATAGAGTTTTCCATAGTTGTTTTATGGCAACTTATTAGAATTAGATTTCGGAAACTAATAAAATAATGGATGAATGAGGTGAACAAAAAACTTTATCTAGAGTATTGACTACAGAATTATCTTCTAATTCTTGTTATAACTGACCAAGTGAACTCTGTAATGGTTGGGTTTTAACTGAAGATTCAATGACTTTCTTGATGAATTAAGTTAGTATTATTTTTTTACTTTGAGTACAGTAAAGTAAATTCACATTGAAGAAAAGTCTTAGTCTGATAAAGATCAGTACCTCAAAAAGAAGAGTTTGAGTCTGATACAAAATTTCTGTCCAATCCAATCTAATCGACTTGTGGTGTACTCTTCATTATTATTATATTATTATATATGTTTATGTATGTTTATAATTTTTTTGACACATTTTATAACAATGTATATTACATTATTATAAATTATTTTATATGTTTTATTAGGCGATAGTAAATTGACAAGTTTCATAAAATTCTTCAAACGTGCTGCAGAAGTATTTGGACGGAATCATGGCATACAATTGGCGCTACCATCTGAATTCGGTGCACATGTTAATGATGCTGAAGTTGGTGGTTAGTACTTGGAATATTAAATTTCATTAAAATTACTAAAATTTTCTAAATTCGTAGAGGGGCGTTTCAAAAAAAGGAAACGTCAAAAATGGCTAATCATATTACCACTCATTATTCTCATGAAAATCGCTCATTTAAAGATGACAGCAGTGACACTATTATTAGGTGTACTCGGATTGAATGTACTGATACTGGGTGCTGTTGGCTGGCTAATTCACTATCTCAAATTTAAAACTTTATGTAAAATCCATCCACATTTAGTGCAGTCACACTCTCATGTCTATGATTCTGATCCTTCTGGTAAGTTTAATATAGGTCAAATTATGAATCATTATCCCATTAATTCATTATATTCCATAATAAAAATATATTCTTTTCATGAAAAACTTTTGATGGCAACAAAATAAAGAGTATTCCTCATTCGCTGGCAGTAGCTTTCCTGGTTCCTATTACAGCTCTTCTGGCTCTAGTCCTCATGAGGTTGGGTTCGGTAGTTACTCAAAAGATTGGAGTAACAGGAAGGCTTATAGCGGCTATAATTACTTGGATACGATAAGTAAGAAACTTCAATAGCTAAGAGATTCTGCATGGCGTCGATTATATGAAACGATTCGTCACTATTATGTTAAGTTCTATCGTGTTGCTGTTCAAATATATGGTGAAAATGTAGATCCTCTCCAAGTAAACTCTACATAAAATATGGGTTATACATGTATGTGGGCGGATATTTAACAAAAAAAAAACTTAGTCAATTAAAAATAGTTAATATAAATATTTTAGAATAATTAATTTAATATTAAAAATTATTTATTGCATACTAGGAATGTGTTTATGGATTAATATAATTATTTATTGGTTTGTTATATTTATTTTGAATTATTATACAAATTAATATATTATTTAATCAAGTTAAAATGTTTTTTCGCCATAATATTCTAGAGCGAAAATTCATTCAATAAAATAAAAATAATTGACAAAATAATTGTACGTCGTTGAAGGTGAAATAAAAATTTACAATTTTTTCATTAAAAGTGCAATGATTATCATATTATATAAAGGGTAAGGACTCCTATATGTATTAATTATTATACTGTTAACAATTTAAATAAATAAAAATTGGAACGTAGTCTTGCATAAGTCACAGTTGGGTAATTCCTGAACGACCCATTATCTACTACTTTCATCCGGAAAGTAGAGAGCAATGATCTGCTATTTGCGTATAGTTGACATGAAGCAGGCATAGTGCGTAACACCTTCTTAGAGGAGTGACAGCGAAAAAAAAAACTATCGCAAAAGGCATTTCTAATAACACATCTGATATATCACGCACTCATCAGCTGTTTAAAGTGAAAGAACATCATGGGAGAAGTGTACTCCTACTAAAACGGTACATTATTATTAAGTTGGGGAATTTACTACTGCGACCTACAGTTCTGTTATGTTCTTTCTGGATTAAGAGTATTTCTCGAAATATTGTAGTGTTAGCCCTACTTTATCGAGTCTGATTTCCTTAATTTATTGTAATACTGAAGACAATTTTTCTCTTCTGACTGACTTAGTTTTTTATGGTATGGAACTACTTATTGTTTAATAAACCTACTTTACCGAGTCCTATTTCTTCATCCAGTATAAGATGCCAACTTAGGTACTGTTCTCATTTAGACAGATACATTTTGGAAGGGTTGGGAACAATGTCACCACATCATTGCATCTTTGGAGGATTATTGTGATAAATCTATTTCAGTTCCATAGGCACGTAGCAATTAAAAATAGCATTATGTCCCTTAGAGAGATGTTGCTTATTTCCGTTATTAGTGGATAGGCAGTTGTTAAGTAACGAAGTTTGAGTCCGGATGGACTATAACAGTAACACAGAATGTATGCTGTTGATTTCTCTTCATCTGGACAAAGTCTGCAGCTATCGTCTCTTGTAATACGTATTTTGATAGATGTTTTTTGACTATGTAATGTCCAGGGATAAAGCCTGTGACAAGTCGAATGCCTTTTCTGTTTAGAATTAGTACTTTCCTAGTTCTGGTTTTTGATCGCTTCGGTGAGAATTCTTTACCTAGACTGTAAGCAATTACATTCCAATTAGTCTGAGCTGCTTTTTTCAGCCATTTATTTATTTTAAATTTAAAAAAAACTTCATGAAGGACCGCAAAATGGTTTTAGTCCAATATTATATGAAGCCACCCCTTTTCTGGCTAGTTCATCGGCTTTCTTACTTTCCTCAAATCCGTTTTGTCCTGGGATTCATATTAAGTGGACCGTGTTCCTTTCAGCAAGATCTTTGAGAAGTTTAACGCATTCCCATACTAGCTTTGAAGTCACTCGAATTGAGCTAGGAGTGCTGATTTCCTTTCAGAGAAAATATATTTTTTATATTTATTATATTTGTATTTTCTTAGACATAGTTCATTTCCGTGTACTTCGGCCTGAAAAACTAAGTTTTCTTGACTCATACTTGCAAGTATTTCTTCTTTTGGGTTAACCCCATAGTCTCCCGCGTTTACTCCTTCCATTGTGTTGGAGCTATCCGTATAGCTCAGTTGGTAATCTCCAACGAAGAGAGGTTACCGCTGTGATTTATACGTCGTTATTTCTTCATCGCTTATAAGATGCCCACTTACGTATTTAAATTACTTATCCATCATTCCTATTAAGACGTACTTTCCAGTATTTTATTAATATAGTATATATCTTTTCTATTTGGAATTTCTCTTAAAATTAAAACTTTTTGTTATGTGTATTTGGCTTGTTATGCATAAATTTCGATTTGTAATAAATGGAACTGACATTGAAAACAAAATGACCCTTCAGTGTTATAATCCTGTAAGTGGGATTATATGCCACATGACATTTTCTGAAAACAGGAAATGTCATTAAGGATAATGAGCGGATTTTATCACATTTCGCTAATTTTGATATGTATTTTCATTGATTTGTGTTGAATTACTTTGGACTGGTAACGCATCCGGAACAGGACTTAAACCTTCAAATAACGGGAAAAATAAATTAAATATTGAAAACAGGAAAATGTTTTGGTTTGAATTGTTTTGGTTTACGGTTCGCATAGGAGTGAGGGTGGTACGTCAGTAAAAAAAAGAGAAATGTTTACACAATTGAAATGGTAAATAAAAATTTCGGTTGAGTGACATTTTTTGTGCTTTGATAAATACCCAAGTAATTCCGCTGACAGCGCCCTGTTTGGATACGCCTACTGCAGAGGCTAGAATCAAATTGTATCTGCGGATATATGGGGCGATGTATGTGCGCGATAAACAAATATAGATAAAAATATTTTATGGCTTTTTTTTAAGTGCCTACAAATTGTGGCAGGTGGCGTAGTCTTGTTGCCTGCAATTACAACACAATAAAGTATTTCGAATCTGTTAATACCACTTCTTTCGATTTCGGTATATATGGCTGTTATTGCTATATTGTTTTACTAAAAATTAATTCCATTAAATGTTGCGCCCGCCTGGTAGCTGCCTGTTGCGCATACCATGAGTTTTATCCAAATGTTTACTTAATTCTTTGTTTTGCCGGTTTTTATTGGGAGCGGCGTTAAATTGGCGGTAACCGCACGTATGCTTTTTATGTTAAATATTGTTTGTTTTGAAGTGTGAATGAAATTCAAAAAAATTTCTCCAAAATTCGGTAAAAAATTGTACACACAATAATTTTAATTAAATATTTCAAATTTTTTAAACCAACATGCAGAAAGCAAATATTTACAAAAAGTGTTAATACTTTTTATTGAAAGAAAGTAAATTTCAGTTGCGTAGATTTTAAATTTTAAATGCATTATAAATTTTAATAATTATTTAATCAAAATGTGATATAATAATAATAACGAATTTTTACTAATATACATAATAATATATGCTAATGACAAAAAAAAACCATTCTTGAATTTTGATGCCAAAAAAAAAACAACATTGTACTCAATCTAAAGAAGAGAGTCTAAAGAGTCTAAAAACACTGTCCAGTGGACTAACTGGTCACACCGCCTGCAATTAACACCTACATAATATAGGCAAAAATATTTGCAGATTCTTCTGTGATGTGGAAGAGCCTATGGAACATCTGATCATTAATTGTAATGCATTAGGCCAGTAGAATAAGAACTTCAAAGTTTCCACCGAATGAGCTGGTTCAAACATTGTTCTCAATCTAAAGAAGAAGAGTCTAAAAACACTGTTCAGTGGACTAACTGTCCACGCCGCCTGCAATTAACACCTACATAGAATAAATATATCCGTCAAAAATATTTGCAGATTCTGCTGTGATGAGGAAAAGTCTATGAAACATCTGATCATTTATTGTGATGCATTAGGTCAATAGAATAAGAACTTCAAAGCTTTGTTCGAAGGAGCTGGTTCGTTTCCTTGAGGTACAAAATATTTAAATACAGAGAGATCCACAATTCATTAAGCTGATTGCAGTGCATAAAGGCCTTAAGCTTAACCAATAAACCATTACCATTATTATATGATAATGTAATACATCGGCTGAAGAAGTCATAAAAACACATAGGTTGTTAGCAAAATTTGTTAATACAGTTTCCTTAAATAGCAATGCATTCATTCCGGTGCTTCTCTTACATTCCGGTATCTTTCTTGTAGCTTGATTTGTATTTCGACTCAAAATAGCTCAAAATTGGTGATAACTATTTTATTGGACAAATAGATATTTTCCTGGAGCATTTTTCAAATAGGTAGTAATCGCTGGGGACAAAATTTGGCGAAAACTTTGAACATGAAAGCAATTAAAAGAGTCGTTCATGTGTATCGTGAATTTTCGATAGACAATAGAACTATAATGTCTAGATTACACATCACTTTATTCATCTTTTCTTCGAGTACCCGCGATCTCGTTCTTCAAGCACACCCATAAATGTATATAACATTCGATAGCTTCTCTTGTTTTAAGTTAGTCGATTAATAATATAGTATGAGTATTTCAAAATACGGATCTCACAATCTAACCAGACGACAGTTGCCCTTTTAGTCATTTTAGATGGCTGACAGCTGACTGTTGCTTTGACTGAGCATTTGAGCAGTGGATCCATATTTCATTCGTGTCTTTATAGCCATATTTAAAGTCTGAAAATCACTGTGCAAAGATTTGTGCAAAGAAACACTTATCGAGCCAAACTGTGACTGGAAGGGTATGTTTTCCATTTATTAAATAAAATAAATTAATTTAATTTAATTTAAAATAAAATTAATTATAAAAAATTAATTTGTATATATAACGAAATAATGTCTCTTACTAGCTCTGCTCTATTTTTTTATAAAAAATTGTGTTGTTGTAGAAATATATTGACACTTATCTGTCTCTACTCCAACCATTACAATATAAGCATTGCAAAATACATATTTATATATACATGATGAGTAGACTACATACATTCTATGCATTTATTAAGTGCGGTCTATTATACATATTGACATGACAATAAAAGTGCCTTTTACTGTTTAATTCATGTGAAAACATTGGCTTTGACAGAAAAAGTTGTTCTCATTTACGGAGTGATTGATATCGACTCGGGGCGACTTTTAGAAATAAATGAGCCATTTTAAGGTAACCAGCTCTATTGTTTGATTGATTAACTCATATTGGCATTTTCCTACGTTATTTTCTGTTTTTATTTTCACGTCAATAAAAAGTTGAACATTTTAAGGACATTTTATAAAAAAATTTTAAATATTTTTTATTGTTTAGGATATGAAATGAAGTTATCGTTTTATACACAGTAAATACATTTATTTTAATTTTTTCGGAGAACAGTAAATAAGTTCAGTAAATAGTTGTGAAATTATTGGAATATAAATTTTTAATGAAATGGAAGAAAAGAGATTTTATAACAAAATACATTAAATTTAAATTAGTATGACATTAACTAGAATTAGAGTCAAACTAGGGAAATGTGATTTAATTGATAACAAATTTAGTTTAATTTTCTTTGACGTCAATTTCTCATAGAGGACTAAACTAATTTTTCTTTAATTTTTAGTCCTTTGTCTGTTACATA